GGAAGGCCAGCCTCAGTCAGTAGTTCAACCCCTCGGCTAGTCCTAGCAGCTCTTACCGCACGAGGGGGCCAGATCGGTGCAATTCATGCACGGGTTCTCACGAAAAGGCCCCTCCTCCAGATGCTCCGAGGCCACAGACACAGAGGGGACCACAGGTTATGGCCTGCGCTCTGGTTGCAGAGAAGCCATAGGCAGGTGTTACAGCCTTAAACATAAGCGCCAAGGGGGGCCCTCAGCTGACTGCAAATAACTGGGCCCAGGAAACAAACTCCGCAGTGGAGGGAAGTGACGGCACAATAGTAGTTAGCGTCGAGGGCGTGAGCACTCTGCTAACTGGGGTGAGAAAAACATGAGTGTCAGTTAGCTCGCTATATTGCAGTGAGAGGAGAGCGGAATCACTCTCTCCACTAGGCGCCAATAGCGACGTTGCCTGACCGACGAGTGACTCTGCTAAGCTGGAGATGGAACAGGTATTAAACCAAACTGTGTGCAGGGAGAGGGGAGCGGAAACACTCTTCACTAGCGCTGTAGCAAGTTAGCTTGAGCGAGAGCACTCAGCTAACTGGAGGATGGAACAGAAAACCAACTGTGTGCAGGGAGAGGGGAGCGGAAACACTCTCTTCACTAGCGCTGTAGCAAGTAGCTTTAAGCGAGAGCATTCAGCTAACTGGAGGATGGAACAGGAACCAATTGTGCGCCGTGAGAGGGGGCGAAGACACTCCTTTCACTAGCGCCATAACAGTTAGCTTGAACGGGAGCACTCAACTAACTGGACGATATAACAGGTAAGGAACCAGAAGTATGTAGTGAGAGGAGGGCGGAGACGCTCTCTTCACTAGCGCAGTAACAGTTAGCTTGAACGCCAGCACTCAGCTAACTGGACGATAGAACAGGTAAAGAACCAAATGTATGTAGTGAGGGGAGGGCGGAGACGCTTTCCTCACTAGCGCAGTAACAGTTAGCTTGAACGGAAGCACTCAGCTAAATGTACGATAGAATCATGTAAGGAACCAAATGTATGTAGTGAGAGGAGGGCAGAGACGCTCTCTTCACTAGCACAGTAAAAAATTAGCCCTCGGCTAATTTGTACACAATGATCTAATTAATTTGAGAATATATAGCACAATCAGCAATAAATGGTAGCGATCTCTCCGGCTGACGTGCAGGAGCGTCCACTCTTTACCGGTCCGGAGCTCCTAGGGTCAGAGCGGTGACCACCGCGGTCCCCTCCCTTGGGAGGGCGGACAGCTAGCTCGTCGCAGCCTTTGGAGGGCAAGCGTTTTTTTCTAGCCCGAAGCTCCGATCGAGACGATCACAAGGCTACAGGTAGCGATGAGCTAGAACCTTAATTTTCAGTAAGCTAGCTTGGCTTCTACTCATAAAGTAGTAACCTGTGCAGCGAAAAGATGAAAAAGGACTGAGCTCGTTGACGGCGCCGGAACTTATGCCTTCCGGGTCATACGAGGTCACACGTGACTTTGTTGATATAAATATTCGACCTGCGCATTCGCGAGACAGAAGATATCCAGTGCTAAAGCACCGCCTCTGGCGGTCAGTAAGGATGAAATACAACAAGTATATTCTGCATAAAGTATAATCCTTATAATATCTGTCTTGCCTAATCTTTATCTGCAACTGTGCACAAATACCAGGTTTTATACACAATGAAGATATGTCTCAATAACATGCATTGCACAAGCAGATCAGTCTGACTTTCAGTGCTTTGTTCAGGGACAACTTATTGACGATGATGATTGGCAGCTTTTTAAATAATAGTGTCACCTTCGCCTCTGTTTTCCCCTCAGACTCAGGTGTGTTTGCCCTCGGTGAAGTCGTGACCTCCGCCCACGCTCAGAACGTCCTCTACAGCGTAGCCAGCAACTTCCTGGAAGTCAAACAACTGGCCTCAACGTTACTACGGCAACTCCCACCATCAGCTGTTGGATTACAGGTTAGTATGAGGACCATGCTCAGTCACTAGATTTAATGATATCTTATAATGTGATGACATTTGATGTCGTTATAGAATACTTTTTGTTTTTTTTGGTTGGTGATATATTGTTTTGGTAACACTCTACATCACACCCATATCTAAAATGCATTATATAACATACTTATAATGCTTTCACATCTTGTTATAGCACTGTTTATGGTTAATTATAGTTATATAACTCATATTTCATAATGCTTTATACAAATAATTACAGTATAGAGGATTTAATAATATATTATCAGGTCAATAATTCACCATTGTTGATAACTTTTGTTTTGCAGGTGTATTATCATTTCACTAATTAATACTATATGCATATTGCACTATAATCATTGTTATATATATAAGTTATTCTAATTGACACAGTTTTGTTTTTGTATGGATTTTAAGATATTTTGTATTAGTTACTTGAAGCTATGACCAGTAACTTAAAATATGATTAAAGTACTAAAAGTATTTGAGTTCTTACAGTACAGTACAAATATGATAATGCATTATGATTACAATCATATTGCATTTCAGGGCAACGACCGCGAGTGTCCTTGATTGAATATATCTGCAATGTTTATACTGTTCCAACTACAGTAACTGGTAGAAATGACATTCCAGTGGTTGTGTCGGTGAAGCACAATGACCAACTTCTTCTGTGTTGTATTTGAAACGGCTTTGACTAACTCCACCTTGGCCTTGATGCTGTGAGGTGCCTGAGAGGATGCGCAGCGTGCTCCAGGCTGCTCTGGACCTCAGCACCAGCACCAAGCCTTTTGATAGCGTCTCAGCAGCGCACCTCCTCCACCTGCTGCTCCCCCAGCCCCACCTCACAGAGGCTCTGCTACACTGCGCCCAGGAGCAGGGCTTCCCTTTCCACCCCCCCTCACCCTTACCTAACGCGTCTGAGGCAGTCATCTTGGAGCTCAACACCCTGGCTGGTAAGATCAAGATGCATTGCCCGAATACATACTGTATCTGTGTTTTCACTGAATACAAAAAAAGAATAATATATATTTTTTCTTCTGTCCTCAGTGGTGCAGCTGTTGCTGTGCTGTCTGCAGTCGGAGGTTCCCAGGGCGGAGGCTTCTCTCTTGCAGGCAGCTGCTTCCTATCCTCTCTACGGCAGAGCCCACTGCATCACTGCTGTCCTGCAGCCTCTCAATTTCGAGTGAGAACACGAATCACAAACACATACACAACCTTATTCCGCAGCTTAGTTGAATACTCGATTCTTTTTGGATGTTCTGCTATACAATTTGACCTAGGGATAGAAGGCCTTTGCTGAGGGCGCTCTGAGCTTTCCTCCATCAGAAAACACTGTGGAATACTTTTAGAATATTCATTTTATATTTCTGGAAAATGACATAAAAAGAAAACAAGAAACCAGCGCAAGAAAAGATAAGAGGTTAAGAGACTCAGAGAGCTGGACAATAGACCAGCAGAAGACATACAGGAAGCAAACACCTACAGGAACACAGTATGGGCTCTCGTAGTATTAAAGACTGGTTCATGGAACAGACTTGGACAGTTACACAATCATTGCTGCCGTAATTTTGAGTTACCGTTGTAGATTCTGTTGTAGATTCATTGCTGTGCAGTAGAAAGGACAACGTTCTTAGCGTGTGCAATATGATTCCTTTTTAAATAATTAAAATCATGTTTAAATGAGTATGTTGAGTCAAATTATTGATGTATTCAATCAGTAGCTGTGTATTAAGCGGGATAACATGCAGTGGGCTGCTCATAATGGTAAAAATAAACCCCTTCAGACTGATTGAAGACCCCTCTGCTCACCCTGTCAGTTACATACTTTATTGTTAAATGTTTGTGTGTGTTTAGGACTTTAACCCAGACGGAGCAGTGGAGGTGTGTGGTGTCGGAGCTGATCGCTGTGTGCTACAGGATGTCTGACGTGGTGTCCCCTGTAGTCCAGAGCTCCTCCCCAGAGGGACTCATTCCCATGGATACAGACTCAGGTAATCCCATCTCTCAGCCTGGCCTCAGATGATGCTGCGTTTCCACTTTAATATCGCATCTTTTGTGTGTGTGTTTGGACAGAGACGTCAGCGGGTCTGCAGAGGATCCTGCAGGAGATTCAGCCCAGAGACAGCAACGACTTCTTCACCAGCGCCAGAGAGCTGGACACACACACTGGAGATGATCAAACACAGACCACACACACACCGTCACTGAACACAGGTGAGATAGAGATCATTGTACTGATTCCAGTTACATACAAATACCAGTAAATATACTGCATAAGGGAAAAGAGATAGGAACATGCTAGTGTTCTAAAGACAACTGGTAGATTGACCATTTTGTCAACATATTTAACAGTTGACACAGGCAATTGAGGTTTATTTAAGCATTCGCTTACGTTTCATTTTTCCGAAGATTCTTATTTTGTCTCAATTGGAGGAAAAACTCAAATGTTGCTTCTCCTAGGCCCTTTCTTAAGAGCCAATCCCACCGGCAAACATGCAGCAATATGCATTTAATAACCTCCTTAACCAGACACAATGCATTAGTATCACTATCGTTAGAACTGTGGACAAAGACAATGACAGATGTAGACAGCGTGCCGAGCCTGTATTTTTGAGATAGGGAGGGAAAGAGAAGTTGGAAGGTGAAATCAATAATGACAGATTTGAGTTTTTATACAACATTTTGGTCTAGATTTTTTGCTCTGACAAAGGGAGTTTACGAACACATCTTATTATTTTCTTTGTGGTCCATAGTGTCAGACTTCGTACACTCGCCCATCAACCTTTCTGCTTGTGAGTACAGTATTCCTAATGTCCTGATGGGGGTGGTGTTTGACCTCGTTTTTGTGTGGTATATTTATACAGAGCACAGTCCAATACTTCAATGAATCATATGAAATGATTACCTAAGACACTGTGACTGTACAGTGATAAAGAAAGTCAAATGGCTCTGTGTAATGTGTGTTTCATAAACTAACACAAGACGTTACTCTTGACGTCTTCAGTTTCCATTGAAAACAACCCTTTGACATGGCATATTGCATAATAAAACAAACACATCTTTTAGTTGAAGTTATGAGGTAATAAAAATGATCAAACTTTTTCCATGTCACTTTCTGCATGTTTGTGTGACTGTGTGTGTGTCTGTTGGCTTCAGGCGGGGAGGGCTACAGAGTGACAGCCCAGATGGTGCTGGTGTGCTGCTGGCGGAGCATGAAGGAAGTGGCCATGCTGCTGGGACAGCTGTGTCAGAGTCTGCCTCTGCACTGCGCCGACGACACACACGCTGGACTCATCACTGAAGAACAGGTGAGCCCCTGACATACCAAACACTCTCACAAAGCTGCTTTTGCCACATATACAGTAGCATCCAGCCGTGTGTGTGTGTGTGTGTGTGTGTGTGTGTGTGTGTGTGTGTGTGTGTGTGTGTGTGTGTGTGTGTGTGTTGTGTGTGTGTGTGTAGTACGTTACGTTACGTACGTAGTAGTAGTAGTAGTAGTAGTAGTAGTAGTGTGTGTGTGTGTGTGTGTGTGTGTGTGTGTGTGTGTGTGTGTGTGTGTGTGTGTGTGTGTGTGTGTGTGTGTGTGTGTGTGTGTGTGTGTGTGTGTGTGTGTGTGTGTGTGTGTGTGTGTGTGTGTGTGTGTGTGTGTGTGTGTGTGTGTGTGTGTGTTGAGCCTGAGATCTACTGTTGTGTGAATCTTTCAGTATCTAACAATTAGATTTAAAATTGTATTCTGGATTCTTTTAATAGTGATGGATGCAATCCAGTCCTCCGTACACTAAAAAAAATAGGTGTTTATAATAGTGATAAATGGTTATAATTATGGAGATTTCATTTTAAATATGTTATATAAACTGAATGCAATAAAGTAAACACACAAAGGCAAACATACAAGGGCCCAATTATGCTTTTTGGGGGTTTCCCTTCCCTGTAGTGTGTTATATATATTGTTGTGCATTTTAATGGTTGTGCCTGAAATGCCTCCATTGGACTCCTTTGTTTACTTCCATAACATAGTGACATAACTATGTAACACTCGCGCTTCTATTGGCTATCGCCCCAACACATTGTACGTGATAGGCTAAGGGTTGGGACATCGGTTGACCAATCACAACAGAGCCGGCCAGCTAACCAATCAGAGCAGACTGGGCTCTGGTTTCAGACAGAGGGACAAAAGAGGTGCTGCAGCACAGACAGTATGAGAAAATAGAGGTTTTTTTGAACACTTAAGCATGGAGACATGTCTCAGTAGAGGAACAAAATACAAATATGAACCTGAAAATTAGCATAATAGGGCCCCTTTAAGGCAAAATGTTGCGTTATTAATGCTAAGTTGGTACAAAAACATTTTTATTAAAGCGCTGTTCGTATCACTGCACCCGTTTACTTTGGATAAGCAATATATATTTCTACCCGATAATGTTGTAAAAATACTTGTGGCTGGATATTGTTATCTTGTATTCAGTATTTGTACAATATGGATGTCACAATTCACTAGCTTAAAACTGTCCTCATTTAAAGCAACATGTTGTGTCCACATGTGATGGATCTATATAAAAATAGCTTATTTCATCACTGTCATCGTCAAATCCTGTCACATCAAGGCAACGATCCAGTTTTAGTGCCCTGGCCTCATGTTACTTTAAAAAAATAATCCACACAGTAATATGTTAAATTATGCTCTAAAACATAAAATAGCCCCAGCTCTGCTCCCTACAGTGTATGTTTGTATGTTGGTCGTGTTAGCTGCTTTGAAGTCACATTTTGGGAATAGGATGGCTAACAAGGCTAACCAAAGTATGACAGCTGGGCTGTGGCAGTTTGCTGCTAAGAAGCTAAGCTGGCCCCCCCCACCTTGACCATATCAAGGGATCTCATACAAAGACAATCAGACAGAAAAAACTGGCATGAGATAAAGAGATTTGTTTATATCCACACACAAACCTAGTATCCCCATTTTTGTTTTAAAGCGTCATTCATTTGACCATATGTGTCTATATGTTCTGTTGCATTATGTGAATGTGTGTGTGTGGTTGTGTGTTTGTGACACCACGCTGGGAGGCTCTTCAATTAGCATCCGCCCTCGTTAGCGTTGCGCTTTCATGTGAGGCCCGACCCTGCTGGTTTAACGGCCGCGACGCCCCTCCCTTTCCACTGCATTCTTTCCAAATCACTTCCACCACCAGCAAGAAAACACTGGGCGCTTTAAACAACACACACACACACACACACACACACACACACACACACACACACACACACACACACACACACACACACACACACACACACACACACACACACACACACACACACAGACACACACACACACAGGAATACTTGTCTGAGTGCTTCAGCATGTGAACGTCCATAATAACAAGGGCACCAGACATAGGCTGTGTTTGTCTGCGTAGGGGGTATGGGGTGTTTGTGTATATGTGTTTGCCTGTTGAGCATGTATTTACACTTCTCAGAGAGAAAGTAGAATCTATCACACTGTACTGAATGTCTGTTTTGTGTGATGAAGCAGTCGGGAATGTGTACAAAGACAATCATTACACTGTTTACTAGAAGATAAGCAGCAGGCTGAGCATTGTATTGTTTTTCTTATTCATAAATGGCTTTCACATTATTTCCTGTTCGTATTTGGAATGATATACAAATAGCTTGTGTGTACAAACAAAGCACTGTTTTACAATTGGCTGGATTAAAGAGGCCCTATTAGGCTTTTTCTGGTTCTCCCTTTCCTGTAGTGTGTCATAAAGCTTTTTGTGCATGTAAATGCTCTTCAAAGGCTGAAATCTGTGTTCCCTACAGAAGGAGTTTCTCTCCCACATACTCCCTCCCTGCCTGAAACGCCTCCATTGGACTCCTTTGTTTACTTCGGTTACATAGTGATATCACAACTAAACAGTCGTGCTTGTATTGGCTACAGCTTCAACACATTGTACCTGATTGGCTAAGGGGTGGGACATCTCTAAGCTGTTGACCAATCACAACAGAGCTGGCCAGCTAACCAATCAGAGCAGACTGGTTTCTGGTTTCAGACAGAGGGTGAAAAGAGGTGCTGCAGCACAGCCAGTATGAGACCAATAAAGACCCTTTTGAACATTAAAGAATGGAGACATGTCCCAGAAGAGGCACTAAATACAAATATGAACCTAATAATATTTCATTTCAGCCAAGTGCCCCCTGAAAAAAACGCGTATACGGTACAGTCTACGAGTACGCCGCTGCACCATCAGTGTGTGGTTGACTAACAACAACCAAGTAACTAAAAATGTATTCAATGCTATTTTTTCAAATGTTTTGAATCCATCACTAAACCTATGTTAAACCAATTGTTTGTCATCATGCAGTAAGACAAAGATCGCATTGTAATCGTATTAATACGTTGCACTCTCAATTTAATGAGGACAAATTGCCTACTTTTTGACTTCTCTTTCCATGTTCTCAGCTCTATCGCTGCTACATTTCAACCACAAGTCCATATTTTACTCATTTTTGTCTGTCATTCGTCATTTAAACTGGCTTAAGTGCATGAATGTGAAACCCATAGGCCTCAGTGATGCACATTACACTTGTCAATGAGTTTTTCAGTTTCATGCTCCATAAAATGTCCTCAATTTGTTCATTATACCCTATAAAGCTGTTGGACACAATAATACGCTGAATGTAATCGGGCCCTATAAAACACTGTCAGTGTGGTTGTGACATCAGTATTGACTCCTTTCCTGCAGCGTCCTGCAGAGATAATTGACGGTGATATTATGGATGTCAGCTGTGGTAACTATGGCGATCGACTTCCCTACATAACCGATGATTTAATAAACTCAAGCTGAGGACCACGTGGACGGGAGGAAACTCTGAACTTACTGCATTTCTATTTCTTTTACTCGTCATCGGTTCCACGCTCTGTGTAAGAATGTGCAAGAAGTGTGTGTGTTTATGTGTGTGTTCCCATTAACATTCAGTGGGGTGATTCCAATAGTGTTTGGAAAGTTGGGTCTGGCGAGGCTTCTGCGGACACAGTCATTCTGCCTCACCACAGTGGTGTGTGTGTGTGTGTGTGTGTGTGTGTGTGTGTGTGTGTGTGTGTGTGTGTGTGTGTGTCCATAACACATGATTTTCCTTAACGTGTGTGAGCACAACATCTTCTGCGGCCCACAGCTAGCATCCTGTTTTACATCCTTGTTGGCCTGGCAACTGTGCAGATGTCTCTGTCACTGGGTAGGACCAAGGCAACAGGAATAGAGTGCAGGAATGTGTCCTAAAACCCAGAAATCAATTGCCGTTTTAAAACTTCTCCTTACCTTGTTTACTAAGCCAACAGTTCTTTTTAACAAGTTTTTGGTTAGATATCTGAAGTTTTGTTCTACAACATACAGTTAGCAGCTCACCCTTGAATGGCAGAAGCTTTTGGTCTTTTTAAAAACAACAGTTGCTAACAAGTGTCTGAATAAAACTTCTATTCGTCAACAACCAAACATTAGCCGCCATTAGCTTAGCGGTGGTGACGTGAACCAATTTGGAATTGTTAATTGTTAAGATAATTTTGCTGAACAAACCGTCTAATTACCATAAACGTTTGTTTGCCAAAGATATTTTTTTCTGCCATACTTCAGAAAGGAAAATTGCATTTTTTTTTTTCAAGGCTAACTTCAGTGTAGGCCTAAAAAAAAAAAAATACGTCATCACTGTACCTCTTATATCATCGGGTACATTTTTCTCATGCCACGCGTCTCTGTTGGCATTCCAGAAGGCTCCATATGATGAATATCATCAAGTCGTTATGTAATTAAGTAAATAATCACTTCAGAGTGATACTGACAAAAGTTTCCCAACTGTGACATGCAATATGTTTCGAATAAGCCCTTGCCTACAAAAAGTCCACATCACGGCATCACTCTACAGTTGTGGGTGGGTGTAAATGGTTATATTTGATGTCTTTATTTCATGAATTCATTCGTCTGTTGTTGACCATACAATTTAGGGACAACGGCTGAGATAAAAGGAAGGAAAAACATGTTGAAATCCTGAAAGGACAATACAAGTGTGTGTGTGTGTGTGTGTGTGTGTGTGTGTGTGTGAGTACTGTACGAGTGGGACAGACCACCAGAGTGGCTGGTCAGCTGGATTTTGACAGCTTGGTTTTTTATTTGGCATAGCTCGGCCTGGGTCGGTTGGAGCCTTGGTTACACAGAGGTGACTAGGAGAGGAACACACCCACATAAACACACACACTGCTATGAACACAATAGGAATGCTTTGTCTCACATAGCTCTGCGTTTGCTTTCTAGTGCACAAT